AATTGTACATTTTCGCATATTGTCAATACGTTTGTTATAAGCATATAAATAAATCAATCTGTTGCATGAACTTATAAAAGTGAAGTTTTTGTAACAGCCTTAACTTCTCGCTATTAAGTGCTAATAAAAAAGCTTGTTAGCCCAACAACTCATATTTATGCAAAATCCTATTAAGATCGGACCACTATATCATATAGCTGCCATAGGAACGATCGGTCGAAAACTAAGTTGTATTAAAAAGTATTTTGTTTCTCAAGATATCTTGATCAAACTCAACACTTATTAGTTTTAGTATACTCCTCATATAAAGGCAAAATCCTATTTAGATCGGATCACTATATCATATATTTGCCATAGGAACGATCGGTCGAAAATTAACTTGTATTAAAAAAAACCTTGTGGTTTTCAAGATATCTTAACCAAACTCGGCATTTATTAGTTTTACTTTACTCCTCATATATAGGCAAAATCCTTAATGATCGGACCACTATATCATCTGCCAAAGAAAGACCGGTCAAAAATTAAGTTGTATGAAAAACTTTTTGTTTTTCAAGATATCTTAACCAAACTCGGCATTTTCTAGTTGTACCACACACCTTATATATGAGCAAAATCCTATTGAGATCGGACCACTATATCATATAGCTGCTATAGGAACGATCGGTCAAAAATTAAGTCGTTGTATTAAAAAGTATTTTGTTTTTCGGCACTTATTAGTTTTACCACACTCTTCGTATATAGGCAAAATCCTATTAAGATCGGACCACTGTATCATATAGCTGCCCGAATTTTTGACTGGTCCGCAAAGGTGCTGGCCTGCGACTTGTCTGCTTGAAAAACCAATACTGGAGCTACGCAAAAGATTGTTGCTCATCACGGATCCTGCAGATGATGCCATATTAAGGTGCAAGTATGTGAACTCTTTTTCTGCTATTCAACGAGTATTTGCCTATGTGTTCAAGTTTATCCATCCTATTCGGCGCCCCGGACTTTTAATCTCCGACATACGTTTGGATCCTTCATACTTTTACGTAACGTTCAAAAGGACTCCCTTTGGGATGATATAAAGAACGTGCAATCAAAGGGCGTGGTCGCTCGTTCCAGTATACTCTCATCATTATAGCCCTTTCAGGATGAATTTGGTATTCTTCGAGTTCATGGGCGCCTCGAAAAGTCAACCCTTATGAGGCCTGTCATCCTATTATACTGTCTAGACATACCATCGCCATTGTCACTCACTTTCATAAGCGGAATCTCTATGCTGGACCACAAGCCTTGTTGGAAGCAATTCGTCTGCAATATTGGCCGATTGGTGGCCGCAAAAACAGTTTCCAGCATTGTAAACAAATGCATCAGATGTTTCCGGAACAATCACCGCTTTGTGGAGCACGTAATGGCTAATCTTCCAAAGGAGCGATTTGTTGAAACTCGAGAGTTTGATATAACTGGTGTAGACTTTTGCAGACCACTCTTCTACAAGCCTGACACTCGAAACAAAGCTCCTATAAAATGCTACATCAGCGTATTTATTTACTTCGACACGAAAGCCATTCATTTGGAGTTGGTCAATGATCTATCTACGTATGCATTTCTCAATGCTCTGAAGCGCTTTATATGCACTCGTAGCAAGCCACGTCAGATTTTGGGAGGCGGCGGTAAAAACTGCAAAACATCACTTCTATCGGGTTGTGGGGTCAACTGTTCTGGGATTCGAGGAGCTTCGTACTCTTGTGTGCACCATAACGGTAGTCATTAATTCTAGACCACTGCTTCTCATTTCAGGAAATCCAGAAGACCACGTCATAAAGTAGCTCAATATTATTTGCTGTTAACTATCTAGCTCTTATCGCTTTGCGCTCATCGTGGTTTCTCTTATCGCGCTCTTTTACCTTTTGCACTTTGTCTTAAGCGGCTAACGAGACAAGAGTCTCGTATGTTCGCTATATCGGATCTCTTATCGAATGCTTCGCTAAAAATTGTACATTTTCGCATATTGTTAATACGTTTGTTATAAGCATATAAATAAATCAATCTGTTGCATGAACTTATAGGAAAAAGTGGAGTTTTTGTAACAGCCTTAACTTCTCGCTATTAAGTGCTAATAAAAATGCTTGTTAGCCCAACAACCCATATTTATGCAAAATTCTATTAAGATCGAACCACTATATCATATAGCTGCCATAGGAACGATCGGTCGAAAACTAAGTTGTTGTATGCACAAATTTTTTGTTATTTACGATATATTGACCAAACAAGCATTTATTAGTTTTACTATGCTCCCTATATATATATATATATATATATATATATATATAGCTGCCATAAGAGCGATCGGTCGAAAACCAGGTTTTTGATTAACCTTTTTTGGTTATCAAGATATCTTGACCAAACTCGGCATTTACTATTTCCCGAAACTTCTTAGATACGGGCAAAACACTATGAGCATTGTGAAAAGGTTGGGTCTGCAAGGGTATTAGATCTTCGGCACGCCATTCTTTCTCGTTTTTTAATTTATTCGGTATTGGAATAAGAGGGTTCAGGGTATTCCCTAGTCTGGAGCTCCCGAATAGAACCTCTTATTTGCTTAGTATAAAAATAGATCACAATTCTTTATAAAAATTACATTTTAAACAATTTTTAATAAAACTTTTATTTTTAGGGACTTTGACGAAACAGCAAAAAGCTTTACACTGGAGCTGATTATGAATTTAGATTTTCAGGCATTTTCAGAGGATATACAGGATATTTCTAATGCAGCTACTATGGAGTTACAAATTGAAAACGGAATAATGAATATTGCTTCTATATGGAAAAAACAAGGATTTGAAATGGCATACTCTCGAGATGGAATTTACCGGATCAAAAATGTTGATGAATGCTTCCAACTATTAGAAGAGCATGTTGTTCAAATTTCCGCCATGAAGGCAACTCGTTTTGTAGAACCTTTTATTGACATCGTTGACTATTGGGAAAAAACATTATCGTATATCAGTGAAACTCTTGAAAAAGCACTTTCAGTACAACGACAATGGCTATATTTAGAAAATATATTTCAAGGGGATGATATACGAAAACAGCTACCAGAAGAAGAAAAACGGTTTGTAGCTATTACAGATGAATTTCGTACAATTACTGCAAAAATGTTTGAGGCAAATACTGCCGTAAAAGCAACTCACCTTCGTCCACCCCCTTTTGTATTGAACCGGTTTAACCGCATGGATGAACATTTGGAGTTGATACAGCGTGCGTTGGAAATTTATTTAGAAGCCAAGCGTCAGCTTTTTCCCCGATTTTATTTTATATCCAATGATGATCTTTTAGAAATATTGGGGAACGCTAAACGCCCCGATCTGGTACAAACACATCTTAAAAAACTTTTTGACAATTTAAACAAACTTGAACTCAGACGAGTCGGAAAGGCATTGAGTCGCTGGCAGGCTACTGCCATGTATTCTGATGACGGTGAATGTGTAGAATTCTTACAGGTGCTGTATATTGATGGTCCTTCAGAGCGCTGGTTAAATCAGATTGAAGACTATATGATAGCAGTTATGAAAGAACAACTAAAATTAGCACGAGGATCTTTAAAGAAGCTTATTGGCAATCGCGAAAAATGGATATCTTTATGGCCAGGGCAGATGGTTCTAACCACTGCACAAATACAGTTTACCACCGACTGTACCCGCAGTCTCATACACTGCAAAATGGTCGACCAGAAGAAACCACTTCGAAAACTTAAAAGAAAGCAGATAAAAGTGCTCATGAAACTATCTGAAATGAGTCGCAAAGATTTATCAAAAATAATGCGTCTGAAAGTAAATACTCTCATCACACTTGAGATACATGGTCGGGATGTTCTGGAACGCATGTACAAAGCTAACTGCAAGGATATTGGCCACTTTGAGTGGTTTTCACAATTACGATTTTATTGGCACCGCGAGTCAGAATTGTGTGTAATTAGACAGACAAATACGGAACAATGGTATGGGTACGAATACACTGGTAATTCTGGGAGATTAGTTATAACACCATTGACTGATCGATGCTATATAACATTAACAACAGCCCTTCATCTTCATCGAGGTGGAAGTCCGAAGGGTCCCGCGGGTACAGGAAAAACAGAAACAGTAAAAGATTTGGGTAAAGCAATTGGTCTATGGGTTATAGTAACAAATTGTTCTGAAGGTTTAGACTACAAGAGTATTGGGAAAAATTTTTCTGGCCTTGCACAGAGTGGCTGTTGGGGTTGTTTTGATGAATTCAATCGAATTAACATTGAAGTGCTGTCAGTTGTTGCCCAACAGATAATGTCTATAATGGCAGCTCTATCAGCAAAAGTAAAAGAATTCGTTTTTGAAGGTCAGACAATTAAATTAAAAAGTACCGTTGGACTTTTTATTACAATGAACCCTGGTTATGCTGGTAGAACTGAGTTGCCAGATAACTTAAAGTCTATGTTCCGGCCAATTTCCATGATGGTTCCGGATAATATAATTATTGCAGAGAATCTGCTGTTTTCCGACGGTTTTACAAATACAAGAAGTCTTGCAAGAAAGGTTTATACCCTTTATGAATTAGCTAAGCAGCAGCTGTCAAAACAGTATCATTATGATTTTGGTCTTCGTTCCATGGTTGCATTATTACGCTATGCTGGGCGCAAACGTCGGCAGCTACCCAATACGAACGAAGAGGAGATAGTCTACCTAGCCATGAAAGATATGAATGTTGCTAGATTTACAGCCGCTGATTTACCGTTGTTTACTGGAATAATGTGTGATATATTTCCAGGAGTTAGTCTTCCACAGATTGACTATAGTGATTTTAATATTGCTATAATTGAAGAATTTAGAGACAATAGTCTTCAACCAATTCAAATTGCTGTAAAAAAGGTTATTGAACTGTTTGAAACCAAAAATTCTAGACATTCAGTTATGATTATAGGCGATACTGGAACAGCGAAATCAGTTACTTGGCGAGCATTACAAGGCGCATATTACAGAATGAATGCTCAGCGTTTTCAAGGCTGGGAGTCCGTTGCTGTACATCCTGTCAACCCTAAAGCTCTTAATCTAGCTGAGCTGTACGGCGAATATAATTTAAGTACAGGAGAGTGGCTAGATGGAGTACTGAGTTCTATCATGCGAATTATTTGCGCTGACGAGGACCCAATGCAGAAATGGCTTTTATTTGACGGACCCGTTGATGCTGTCTGGATTGAAAATATGAACTCTGTGATGGATGACAACAAGCTTCTAACGCTAATTAATAGTGAACGAATTACAATGCCGCCACAGGTTTCATTGCTATTTGAGGTAGGTGACTTGGCGGTTGCCTCCCCTGCTACTGTATCACGCTGTGGTATGGTATATAATGACTATAACGACTGGGGTTGGAAGCCATTCGTCGATGCATGGTTACAGAAATTAAAAATCAAAGCATATTCTGAATTTTTGCGCATCCATTTTGACTCTATCTTACCAAATTTGCTTGAGTATAAGCACATTCGTTGCAAAGAACCAGTGAAGACAAACGAATTAAATGGAGTTATGTCTTTGTGTAAGCTCCTTGAGGGGTTTGGTACAAAGCAAAATGGTATTAACCCACACAATTTAGAATCATTGGAAGAAATGACAAAACTTTGGTTTATGTTTTCTTTGGTTTGGTCCATCTGTGCAAGTGTTGACGAGGAGAGTCGACTTAAGCTCGATACTTATATACGTGAAATTGAAAGTTGCTTTCCAATAAAGGACACTGTGTATGATTATTACGTAGATCCGAACGAAAGAACATTCGTACCCTGGGAGAGTAAGCTGTCAGATACCTGGCGTTATGATGAGAGGTAAGTCACACTAATAAGATATAAAATATTTTACACATCATAATTTTTTTTACTTTAGTTCTCCGTTTTATAAGATTATTGTTCCTACTGGAGACACTATACGCTATGAGTATATCGTATCAAAACTTCTTGTTGAAGAGCACCCAGTGATGATAGTTGGAAATGTTGGAACAGGAAAATCATCGACTGCAACCAATGTAATGGAAGCTTGTGATAAGAATAAATTTTGCGTGCTTTACGTTAACATTTCGGCCCAAACTACAGCAGCCGGATTGCAGGCTACAATTGAAAATCGTACCGAAAAGCGCACCAAAACTCAATTTGTACCTTTTGGTGGAAAAAGAATGATCTGCTTTATGGATGACTTTAATATGCCAGCCAAAGACACGTATGGGTCACAGCCGCCTCTTGAACTGATAAGACAATGGATCGATTATAAGTACTGGTTCAACCGTAAGACTCAGCAAAAAATATTTGTCTTGAATACACTACTCATGGCAGCGATGGGACCGCCGGGCGGTGGACGTCAAGTTATCTCCCCACGAACTCAAAGTCGATTTGTACTTTTAAATCTGACTTTTCCAACTCATGAAACAATAACACGTATATTTGGTACAATGCTCAAGCAAAAACTTGAAGGATTTACAATTGATGTTCGCGAAATGTGGTTGCTACTTACGCAATCAACAATATATCTCTACACTGCAATTATTGGAAGAATGCTACCAACTCCTAATAAGTCACATTATCTCTTTAACCTTCGTGATATTTCAAAGGTATTTCAAGGACTACTCAGGGGATCTCTAGAACTTCAAACGACAAGATCACTTTTTCTTCGTCTATGGATTCATGAGTGTTTTAGAGTATTTAGTGATAGACTTGTTGATGATTCAGATCAAGAGTGGTTTGTCAACACTATTAATGAAACCCTAGGAGAATATTACGAGGTTACTTTTCACAGCCTATGCCCATCAAAACAGTCTCCGCTCTTTGGGGAGTTTGCTCATCCGCAGGGTTTCTATGAAGACTTAAAGTTGGACACATTGCGCACATACATGATAAACCAATTAGAGGAGTACAATAATTTTCCTGGAATGGCTCGTATGAATTTAGTTTTCTTTAAAGAAGCCATTGAACATGTAGTTCGCATAATTCGCGTTATATCTCAGCCGCGCGGTCATATCCTAAATATTGGTATAGGAGGATCCGGCCGTCAAGTGCTAGCCAAACTAGCTGCCTTCATTTTAGAAATGGGAATCTTCCAAATTGAGGTTTCAAAAAAATACAAAGTCGGCGATTTACGCGAGGACTTAAAAGCCTTATATAAAATAACGGGTATTAAGCAAAGGCTAACCATTTTTATTTTTAGCAGCGAACAGGTAGCTGAATTGTCTTTCTTAGAAATTATAAATAATATGCTTAGTAGTGGAGAGATAAACTTATTTAAAGCTGATGAGTTCGATGAACTAAAATCCGATTTAGAGCGTCCCGCAAAAAAGGCTGGAGTTGAGCTAAACACGGAAGCGCTGTATTCATTTTTCATGCTGAATATAAGAGATTTTATGCATATAGTTCTGTGTTTCAGCCCCATCGGAGAAAGCTTCAGAAACTACATACGTCAATATCCGGCTCTATTAAGTGCTACCACTCCCAATTGGTTTAGATTGTGGCCGCAAGAAGCATTATTGGAAGTCGCTTGTCATTTTTTGAAGGGTTTTCAACTGAATATTCCCGTTCCTGGTAAAGATGAAAAGAAAGATCGCGATAGTTTGGTCGAAACGACTGAAAATGTTCTTCATCGTGATATTCCGCATGCATTTTCAATCATGCATTCTAGTGTTGCAAAAATCTCACAGCTTATGTTAGAAGAAGTAAAACGATATAACTATGTTACGTCACCAAATTATTTACAGTTAGTAAGTGGTTTTAAAGAGCTCCTTGAAAAAAAAAGGTTGGAAGTATCATCCGCTGCCAATCGCTTACGTAACGGGTTATCTAAGATTGCAGAAACTCAGGAAAAGGTGACTTTAATGTCAGAGGAGCTTAAAGTAAGTTCAGAGCAAGTAAAATTACTAGCCAAAGAATGCGAAGAATTTATTGCCATGATCGAAATTCAGAAATCCGAAGCGACAGAGCAAAAAGAGATCGTAGACGCAGAAGCAGTAATTATAAAGCGTGAAGAAGTAATATGTTTAGACTTAGCAGCCACTGCTCGCGCAGATTTGGAAGTTGTTTTGCCTATGATTGATGCAGCAGTAAAAGCTTTAGATGCACTAAATAAAAAAGATATTGCTGAAGTAAAGTCCTATGGTCGCCCACCTATGAAGATTGAAAAAGTAATGGAAGCCGTACTGATATTAATCGGAAAGGAACCAACTTGGGAGAACGCGAAAAAAGTACTTAGTGAGTCTACATTTTTGAATGACTTAAAAAATTTTGATCGAGATCACATCTCGGAAAAAACACTTAAGCGAATAGCCATGTACACTAAAAATCCAGAATTGGAACCAGATAAGGTAGCTGTAGTATCAGTTGCATGTAAGTCATTAATGCTATGGATTATGGCTATAGAAAACTACGGCAAAGTATATCGAATTGTTGCGCCAAAACAAGAAAAATTAGATAATGCCATGAGGTCGCTGGAGGAAAAACAAGCAGCATTAGCTGCAGCTAAAAAAAAACTTGAAGAACTGCAAGCGGTAATAGAAGAGCTTTATCGGCAGCTCAATGAAAAAACCGAATTGCTTAATGAATTACGTGCAAAGGAAGAACGTCTAAGGAAGCAACTGGAACGTGCAATTATTTTAGTTGAATCACTGTCAGGAGAGCGCGAGCGTTGGATAGAAACTGTAGCCCAACTAGACGTCGCTTTTGAGAAATTACCTGGAGACTGTCTTTTGTCTATTGCATTTGTAACTTATTTGGGTCCGTTTGACACTAAATACCGTGAAGATCTCTTAAGCAAATGGAGACAACTAATTAAAGATTTAGTTATTCCAGCCACGTCTGAACTGAAATTAACTGTCTTTCTCTGCGATGCCGTTTCTATCCGAGAATGGAATATTCAAGGACTTCCGGCTGATGATTTAAGTACGGAAAATGGAGTAATTGTAACTCAGGGCAGTAGATGGCCGCTGATTATCGATCCGCAAATGCAAGCGAATAATTGGATTATGAAGATGGAGGAACATAATCAGCTAATTATAATAGATTTGGGTATGACTGATTATCTTCAGCAAATGGAACATTCTATTAAAGAAGGGATTCCTGTATTGTTACAAAATGTTGGAGAAACCCTAGACCAGGCGATATACCCAATCCTTCGCCGAAATTTTACAATACAATCTGGGGAAAAACTAATAAAATTCAATGATAAGTACTTATCATATAACGATCAATTTCGATTTTACATTACTACGAAAATTTCGAATCCGCACTATCCACCCGAAATATCATCAAAAATGACGATTGTTAACTTTGCATTAAAACAAGATGGACTGGAAGCCCAACTATTGGGTATTATTGTAAGAAAGGAAAAACCGGCGTTAGAGGAACAAAAAGATGATCTAGTTATGACCATTGCACGTAATAAACGTACACTTATTGATCTTGACAATGAGATTTTGCGTTTATTAAATGAAAGTAGAGGATCCCTTCTTGATGATGACAAATTATTTTCTACATTGCAAAAGTCACGACAAACATCGGTCCTGGTGAAAGAGTCCCTAAGTATTGCTGAAGTCACAGAAATAGAGATAGACGCAGCTCGCCAAGAATACAAGCCTGCTTCTGTACGCGCTGCTATTTTATTTTTCGTTTTAACGGATATGTCAAAGATTGACCCAATGTATGTTTTCTCTTTGGCGGCTTATATTTTACTATTTACGCAATCTATTGAACGTAGTCCACGAAATCAGCTGGTACATGAGCGTATTCACAATATTGATGAATATCATACATATTCTGTTTATCGAAATACTTGCCGTGGCCTTTTTGAAAGGCATAAACTTCTTTTTTCAATACATATGACAGCGAAAATACTATCAAATGCTGGAAAGCTGGTCGAAGAAGAGTATGATTTTATCCTGAAGGGCGGAATTGTTTTAGACAAGCAAGGACAGGCGCCTAATCCAGCAAAATGTAAATAATTATAATTATCCTATAGCAATGGTGTAACAATTTTGTTACTTACGCGTAATTAATTTAGGTTACCAATAGTAAAAGTATACATTTTTTTTAATAAAGCCCGTTTTTTAGGTACACATTCGCTACGGACATCGAGATAGCTACTTTTTAAAAATTTTATTTATTTTATATACCAAAATAAAAATCCAAGGCTATATGATACATAAGTCTCATTTTAACAAATTTCGTCTAAATATTTGTTGCTTTTCACTGTTCAAATACAATTTTACATATATTCGAGCCAAATTCCTTAAAATTAGATTAATATATATATTTAGGGTGGATCAGTAAATAAAATTAATATATTATTGAGTTTGACAATAGTATATTTTTTTTTTATAATAAAGCTTGGTTGGACACATCTGGTGGTATCTAGACTAAACTAAACGAATAAGTAAGAGATATCGAACAAGGCATATTTTTTCGTAGTCGCATTTTAAAGAACTGTCCAAATTCAATTAAATTTATATATATACATAATCATAGACAACCCGAATATAACTGTTCTTTTTCTAATTTAACTATTAACAGGGTGGATCAGTGAACAAAATTGGGACAATATAACCGAGCTGGACAAAATACCAGGTTTCCACGGCATTATAGACTCATTTGAAACTAATTTCAAACTATGGAATGGTAACCCTTATTTATTACTTCAGTTCATAATAATATTAATATTTTCGACTTACAGCCTGGTACGCTACAGCTTTCCCAGAACAGGAAGATTTGGTTGGCGAATGGAATGATAAGCTTACAGATTTTCAAAAAATTTGTGTAGTACGTTCATTACGACCGGATCGAATTAGCTTTTGTATGACACAGTTTATTATCAGTAAGTTAGGTCCACGTTATGTGGAACCACCAGTCCTTGATCTAAAGGCTGCCTTTGATGAATCAATTTCTCAAACACCATTGATTTTTGTTTTGTCACCGGGCATCGATCCAACTCAATCTTTAATAGCACTTTCGGAAACAACGAAAATGTCTCAGAGGATGTTTTCACTTAGTTTGGGGCAAGGACAAGCACCAGTAGCAACAAAGCTTATAATGGATGGAATCAGAGATGGTAATTGGGTATTTCTAGCAAATTGTCATTTGTCCCTAAGCTGGATGCCTACTCTCGATAAAATGATAGCAACTATGCAGTCAATTAAGTTACACAAAAAGTTCCGCCTTTGGCTAAGTTCCAGTCCTCACCCAGATTTCCCTATATCTATTTTGGAAACAAGTATTAAAATGACCACTGAACCTCCACGTGGAATTAAAGCTAACATGAAGAGGCTCTACAATAATGTAAATGCTGTGAATATGGATATCTGTAAGGAGCCTAATAAGTACAAAAAACTGCTTTTTGCACTCTGCTTTTTTCATACAATTCTCTTGGAGCGTAAAAAATTCCAGCAACTTGGGTGGAATGTCATATATAGTTTTAATGATTCTGATTTTGAAGTGTCTGAAATTTTATTGCTTTTGTATTTAAATGAGTATGAAGAAACACCTTTCAATGCATTAAAATACTTGATAGCTGGAGTAAACTATGGAGGTCATGTGACCGATGACTGGGATCAGCGGCTGCTGACTACCTACATAAATCAATTTTATAATGATCAAGCGTTAAAAACGCGTAAGTTTCGGTAAGTAGACCTTTCTTTAACAATTATTTTGTTGATCCTAAGCCCAAGAGATTGCTGCTGAGCATTGAATAACTATGGTTTTGTACATTTCCATTACTCGCATCACATGCATACACGCCTCGTACAAAGCAGGAAATTCTTCTTTTTAATCAACAGATCTAAATTTGGCATTAATTAGCTTTAAATGTTTTCAAAATCTTTTCGACATCGAAATACTTTATTATGCAGCTCCAGCAGAATCACTCATAAAATACGTTTTTGTATTGTTATTCTGTTTTCATATCTTCCCAATTATGGCGCGGAATAAATATTATTACTAGGGCCGCCAGTCCATCAGATCTTATCGATACATTGTTTTTTTGTAATTCAGGCCACTAGTAAAAAATGCGTATTTCCTCTGTCGCAGTATGGTACAAGTAGATCCCTCTTGCATTACGCTGAGGCTTTTCAGTTTGGTTGCCAATATGTAGTTTATCTACTTCTTTTCATATTTAAAACTATTTAACCTGAGAGACTCATTGACTGATCTATGCGCAGCTCTAGCGTAAGAGCTATACAGCCCCTTTTTTACCATAGTTACCAAATGCGGAGAAGTGTTTTTATTAACTATCCGATAGGCCTCCAATTTCGTTTCAAATACCTTTGTTCCCATTAATTTAATGGGTGGTTCATTCTTTTTGAAGACCTCATTCCTCCTTAGTATCATTTGGTTCGTTAATTTTCGCGTTCAAGTTAAGAAGAATCATTTGAAAAGGGTTTTACATTTTTTGCAGAATGCAAGAATCCTCGATGGAAATGCGATTCAAACATAATGAATACGTTTTTCAGCAAATTTTGAAATTCCGGTAAGCGATATTACGAAAATTAAAAAAAATGCTGCTTGCGCGAAATAGTACAGCCGGTCCCATATCAGAAATTATCTATTATAGAAATTGTAGAAGATAAATTGCGTAATAAAGTCTCTAATGGTGTTAACCTAGCGTTAGATACTAGTGAGCTAAGCGTGTACCTAAAAAAAATGGGCATCCAGCCATCCCCTACATGATCGGCAGCCTGACCAGTGCAATATGTCGCGATCAGTTGACAATAGAATGTATGGCTAGCCTATCTTCCCACTAGCACTGGGTAAGATTACTAGTGACAGTCCTGACACTACGGGTCGGGAACCATCTTAGCCTTAGGGCCCCGGATATATTTATTTTTAGATATGCCTTTAACGAAAGTGATTTTTGTTGTGAACAGTGGCAACGCAATGTGTACGACAACTTTAGGAAGATTGGACTACAATAGGTCTATTATCCATCTATAAATAAATTTCATATTATCATCACAAACTATTTTGGATTTATTGATTGCACTTCGGAAATGAGGATATTAGATCTTCGGCGTGCCGAAAATAGCCCTTCTTTCTCATTTAGACACATTTCGATTTATGGCTGCAAGTTTGAATAGTCTTAGCTCTAATTTAGAACATAATAATTTCACAACTGTTAAACGGTTTTTCCCGGACGAAACACACTTTTATCTTGTCATAGGAAGGGAGTTTTCCCATATGATTACTTTACTAAATTTGAATGTTTGCAAGAAACTGCTCTTCCACCAGGGGAAAAATTTTTCAACAGTCTTGCAAATAGAGAATGCTTAGATCAGAACGTGTGGAGTGTTTTTAAACCTTTTGACCCCAACTTTTTTCCTGATAAATGAAATTTTTTTTTTTTACTTTTAATTTTTTTGTATTTATCTAACAAGTATTTGACCAAAATTTAAGGTTGCCACGCCTATCGGTTTGGGAGCTACAGAAAGTTGCTTGTGAGCAACGTTGGGCCATAGTGGTATATATATAAAAAAATTGTTTTCTTGGAAACAGCTTAAAATTAATTTTATTTATTTTAGTAAATTAGTTATGAAAAGAAATAAAACAGTTTTTATTATTATTACAGCAAATACTACCCAATGTTCCATTTTATCGTAACGCCGTGAGTCTGGAGCATCCGGCTGGACCCTGTACTTTTTTGACTGGAGCGAAGACACCCTGCTTGATAACACCCAAGGGTGTTATCGAGCTGTCCTTTTCTGCATTCAATGGTCGCCCTCTCTTTTTTGCCAACGAAGTAGTGGTAGTACATTGTAAAAGCTCCTGAGCAACTTCCATTTGAAATAGTATGAGAGGAATATGCTTCTGTCCCTGGCTTATCAAATGTAAAGGCTTTCTATATAGTAGCCACGCATTTGTAAGGGATGTTCCCAAGCACCAATAAAAGATTCTAATATACCACTTTCTACTCCTCCCATACCCTTATTGTAAGAAGCAACAATCGCAGGCCTTTCAACATCAATATAAGCCTTTGCTTTTGGATTCCAACGTTTGCATATCCCAATCGGTTGATGGGCTTCACATGAGGATATAAGTCGAAGTGGCTTATTGTCAAACCATTTTACACATACCAGATTGTTGTTGATTTCAGTTTTTATATCGAAAGACCCTCTTCCACGCTTTCTTAACTCTGCGTCCGAAAGTAGTTGGCAATTACTTATGCGATTTTTACGTACGGTACCTGTTGCAAATATGCCCATTTCCTTTAACGAAAGTAGAAGGCTTACTGACGTAAACCAGTTATCAAAATATATCTTAAAGTGTTTGTCCTTGGGAAGACCTTTTGCCAAATACAAGATTACATCCAAAGATATTCCCAAACCATAAGAAGGACAGGTGCCTTCACCAACATACAGCGTAAAGTCGTAAACTAATCCAGATGTTCCAGCACGCGTAAACATTTTCAGACCCCATTTGTGAGGCTTAGCTGGGTTGTATTGCTTAAATGACGATCGACCTTTGAACGTAATGATTTGCTCATCAATACTTTAGTTCTTCTTGAGGTAGTTTACCAAAATTTATTTTGAGAATGTTTAGTAAAGGACGTATCTTGTACAGCTTGTCATAGCTCAAATCTCCTTTTTTGCATTGTTTAGAATTCTCGTTGAAGTGCAAACATTGCTTTATTTTTTCAAATCTTCCGCGTGGCATTAATTCAGTTATAACGGTAAGCTTTAAATTTGTTGACCATGCCATTTTAAATTGTGGCAATTTTATAACACCCAAGTATAACAAAATACCAATGTAACGTTTGATATCTGCTCCAGTACATTTAAGCTCTATGCCGTGTTATTGAAGCCCATATAAATCAGTTTGCATTATGATCAAATCAATAACTTGGCTATCAAAAAAGGTGAAAAAATATTCTACTGGTATCACCACGTCGTCGACTTTCAACGAACTGTCTTCCTCCCAAATGCACTCTGGAGCTTCAAATGGCCTTGTTCTCCACTTTAGTGTCTTGGGGTCAACTTTTTCGAAGCTATTACCAGCATCAACACTCGGTTCCAGCTCACATTCTTCAGCAATCATATTTTCAAGAAGGCCAATCTCGATAGTTTCTCCTCTTTCCACGATCACTTCCAAATTCTTCTCCAGCACTGCATTAATGTCAACCATCTCATCACCACTTTCTTCGTCAGTAGAGGCATCCCAATCGAAGTTAATAATCCTCTCAATATCTTCATTTGACAAGCCCTTCTGTTTTGGTCTCATATCTAAGTACAAATATATTTATTACCACTATGGCCCTAGGTTGCACACAAGCAATTTCACATCTTTGAAAAT